TATTGTAATTAAAAAAGTTTGACTACACTTTTCTACTGTTAATTATATGGTGTGTTATGCGATGGGCGGCATCCCATACGCCCGGCCCCTAACTAGTCATTTGTGTTAATTTAATTTTATAATTTATTGGATTTTATTATATAATTTCATATTGTTTTAAATGTATTAAATATGTATCTCTTCGCTCGCATAGACACCTCACTTATAGACACATATGGGCAGTGATTTTGCTTATAAATTATGCAATAGTTATGAAATTTATATATATTTTTGCAATATAATTTATTTTTGTAAAAATAATAATTATATTTATGTACACTCTTTGGGGATCACCAGTCAGTCTGATATTAGATTAGTATTTCATAATCAAATCACACATAAATGCAAATGAGATATAATTTATCAAAAATATTTATACGATCGCTATATTTCATGAAATCAAATCATAAATCCATATAAACACATGATATCATTGATATTCTTGAGATACCTGTCCTTTTCAAACACTCCCTAACCATAGAGTCGGCCGTAAATTAATTTTAAGATATGATGAGATCAGTCACCACTCACTCACACATACAGGCGCTCAAAGATTAAGGCTTTTTGTGATACAGTATTACAAGAATTGGGTTTACGTTTGTATGAAATAATGTAATGAAAAAAAGAGATTTCAAATTTTGTGCTCAATTTGTTATACAATTCTTGTTTTGAATTTTATTAAAACTTTTTTTTGTTATTAATTCCTGACTCTTCTCCCCGTCTGTCCGCTAAACGGACTGACAGTTAATGCGATTGAAAAACATAATTGAAAATTAGGCCTTAATTTGTTTAGTGAGCGAAAAAATAAAACAACATTTTTCGGCAGCAATTGTATTGTTATCGATAACAATCAGATGCCGTGTAATGTATAATACATTTTAATGATAAACACATGATATATAATAAGTTACATAAACCAGTGATAGAGTTTGAGCTGTGATGTGATGTTTGACTACCGGTTCACTCATCGCAATGGCTTTTGTATTGTTCACAACATAATGAAACAAATCATGTCTATAAACGGTTGCTTAAAATGTAATTTCAAGTCAATCACACGAAACACTGAAATTTATTTTTATTTTTTTGTTAGAAAATTATTTATTATTATTAGTATTATTGCCGTTTGATATACAGTTGACGGACGTATTGCCGGCCGTAACGCTATTTGTATGATATGAGCGTCGGGTGCGGTCAGTGCGGCCGCTGTAGGCGCCAACACTCGTGGCCTTATGGTTGCCGTTATGGCCATTGGATTTAATGGTGGCCGTGGGCTGCGGGTCGCCGACCACCGCCTTATGTTTGGTCGGCTTATTGACAGGTCTAGTGATCTGCGAATAAATAGCTGTTATGGAGGACATGGTGTCAAAACGGGACACATTTGACGTCTGTCGGGGACTATAGTCCAGCCCCACGACCGGCAGTTTGGGAATTGTCGGCTCGACGGCACGGATAGCCTCTAATTTAGACTTTTTTCTGCCTATATATCCATCGACACAGGGATGGAGTGATGGGGAGTGAAAACTGGATTATTATTACATGGATTAGAGGTATTTTCATTTATTTATGAGAGACTATTGTATAAATGGATTGATTTTATTTAACAAACTCTTTGTTTTGTTTCAATACTTGTATAAAGTATTGAATTTCATTTGTCTTTGTTTGCGTTTTTTGATACAACAATAAAAATATGTAATACCGGTGATGGTCAGGAAGGACAGGACAATTGTGGTGAGACATGCAGTGATTACAATACCAATAAATATTGATATTAAGATAGAGTCGTCGTCTTTGGTCGTCAACTTATTCAATACACTTCCGGTCTTTATCTCCCGATTCGTGCGAATAGTATTCACTAATGTATAAGACTTTTGTTGCTTTTCCGCCGGACAGCCGAAGAAGTCGCTCACCATTTGGTTCTGTCGTGTGATTAATGAGATAATGAGACAAATTGTTAGACTATTATGTAATAGATTTTGTTTTCAGACACTATTTTTAGACAATAAAGTGTTTGTGATTTCAATAATAAAACGCTTAATACTTATGCAAAGAATGAGAAAAATTGTTTTCTTTATTGTCTATTCAATTGAATACTAGGATTGCGTGAAATAAATGCATTACTCTTTCATTCAATTGGCTTAAGATTATATCCCTTTTGTGAATATTATTTTAGTGAAAATTTATTTCTAATTGTATTGAAAATATTTAATGAATACTCGCATAACATGTGAGAGAAATAACTATAAAGTTTTTAAAAAAAATTATTTTCATAGCTATTCAACAATTCATTGCTTGTCTATAAATAGAGACAAACAAATCAGACCATTAATTATACGTTTAGTTTGGTTTACAACTACTTTTAACTATGTTTTACGATAGTATTTAAGATATTTTTCCTATCAATTACTATCATTTCATTTGATTTTAATTTTAATTGATTTTTGTAATGTTTTCTACGATAAGACTGTTGTAAAAAATTAATTGAATCTCACTTTTCGTCTAATAAATCGATATATTTTTTAGCGAAAATATAAAAAACCTATTTTTAAAGTAATTAATCAACTTTTACTAAAATATTTTGTGCTGAAAATACTTCCAAAAATATTTCTAAAAATATATTTTTTGCAATAAATCTCAATCGAAATGCTATTCAATCAGAGGTTTATAATATAAATGCAATTAATGTTGAAATTATCAGTCGTGTGGCAAAAGCCTTCATTTCCTACACAAAACTAATACTCAAAAATTATAATCACATTAAAAGCTTTGACCAAAAAAAACTTAAGATTACATTTCAGGAAAAAAATTAATTATGAAACTAATTGTAAGACATAAACCCAAACCCAACAACTTTTAACACATAAAGGGCTTACAGTTTCGGTGAGTTTCCTATCATTGTTGCCGAGTATATGATATCTGTATATCTTTCCCACTCTTTCGATGCTATTCTTGGTCTCTCCGATGGCGTATACGATGCCATTCATCTCAAACATCCCGGTGTAGACCACGCGATCGCCGATATCCTTATACCTCCACGAGCTGTTCCAGTTCTTCGTGTCCATTGAATTCCAGGCCAACACTGTGTTGGAAAAGTTGCGGCCATTTATGATGAACACGAGTTCGTATCGGGAGGGCAGGTACGCCACCGGCCGGTGCTCTTGGTATGCCTCCCAACCATTAGGCCATAGATTACCGCCCAGTAATCCCACCTAAATGTTTCATTTAAAGTACAACTTAATTAGTAAATTAAATGATGTGTTCATCATATCGTGTGTCAGTTGTGTAATGATTGCATTAATTATAATATTAATTACGCCAAACAATTACTGAACACTGACTTTATTTGTCGAAATGTCTTAATTAAAGTGTAGTTTTATTTCTCTCTTAGATTTAGTTATTAATTGACCCAAAAATTACAGCAATTTAGGCATTCATTCGTTTGACGAGATGTTTAAGATATAAAATAAAGATAAATATCGCATATATTTATCGGTTATATGAATGGGAACTACACCTCCAGTTTGGAGGCAAAACCAAATGAGTATTTCATTTATTATACAATTTTTTGTTGCATTAAAATGTATGACAAGAATCGCATTTTCCCTTTAAAATACAGACTTTGTTAACAATTATTTTATCGATTATAAGGTGTATTATAATTGGTGTCGTTTTGTTTTGCTTTTGAATATAAAATTATGATTTAATTAAATGCCTTTTCATTATTGTAATGATTATTAGGAAATTTTTGTAGAAAAATATAATGTTTTGTTTTTAAAAGGTTTAATTATATTAGAAATTTGTTAATCTATTGAAAATCAAATACTAGTCAAAAGGTGTATAAATCATAAAAATTCAATATGTATTCAATAAAATTAATAAAAATCTTTTGATCGGCTTTTTTGTGTTCGGAGAGAGAGAGAGAGAGAGAGAGAGAGAGAGAGAGAGAGAGAGAGAGGGAAAGATATACAGATATCATATACTCGGCAACAATGATAGGAAACTCACCGAAACTGTAAGCCCTTTATGTGTTAAAAGTTGTTGGGTTTGGGTTTATGTCTTACAATTATGAAAAGGCATTTAATTAAATCATAATTTTATATTCAAAAGCAAAACAAAACGACACCAATTATAATACACCTTATAATCGATAAAATAATTGTTAACAAAGTCTGTATTTTAAAGAGAGAGAGAGAGAGAGAGAGAGAAAGAGAGAGAGTTGGAAAATATGAAACAAAACTTTTTAAACAATTTATTTATTGAACACAAATATGTTTTTGAACGGCAAATGTTAGGTCAGGTTAGATAAAGGAGATAAACAGTGAAAAAAGCAATCAATTATTGTAATAATTAACGCATTATTTACTCTTCCTCTTACTGTTTGAGCGTTTCTCACAATTTAACACAATTTCAATCAACGGTTTATTTTCGGCTGATTTTTATTTCAGTAAACATTTAAAAACTTTTATTTGTTATTTATTTATAGCATTTTATTTTCCACACACTATATGTGGGATGAGTGCAGAGTTTATGGGAATAATATGTTATTTTCATTAAATTTAATATGAATTTTGAATTTAATTTTTCGCATTTATTTCTTCCTTAAAACGTGCGAAAGATTTTTTAATTTCATCAAAAAATACAGACGTCTTATGAATACATGAATATATTTTACGGACGATTAATAAATAACTAATCCATTAATTTTAATGCCACTAAAACTTTAAATAATAAGCAAGGTAGTAATAGGGAGGCTAACCTACCCCTATAAATATCCTGGTCAATCATGCGATAAAATGTTTTAATACTATTAACAATAATCTATACTATTATATAAGTCTAATAATATATAACACGAAAAAACAGAAACGGATTTACAATTTGTTTCAGTCGATAGGAAAAGAGGTATAATTTTCTAACAAAAAAATAAAAATAAATTTCAGTGTTTCGTGTGATTGACTTGAAATTACATTTTAAGCAACCGTTTATAGACATGATTTGTTTCATTATGTTGTGAACAATACAAAAGCCATTCGCGATGAGTGAACCGGTAGTCAAACATCACATCACAGCCCAAACTCCATCACCGGTTTATGTAACTTATTATATATCATGTGTTTATCATTAAAAAGTATTATACATTACATTACACGGCATCTGATTGTTATCGATAACAATACAATTGCTGCCGAAAAATGTTGTTTTATTTTTTCGCTCACTAAACAAATTAAGGCCTAATTTTCAATTATGTTTTGCAATTGCATTAACTGTCAGTCCGTTTAGCGGACAGACGGGGAGAAGAGTCAGGAATTAATAACAAAAAAAAAGTTTTAATAAAATTCAAAACAAGAATTATGTAACAAATTGAGCACAAAATTTGAAATCTCTTTTTTCATTACATTATTTCATACAAACGTAAACCCAATTCTTGTAATACTGTATCAGAAAAGCCTTAATCTATGAGCGCCTGTATGTGTGAGTGAGTGGTGACTGATCTCATCATATCTTGAAATTAATTTACGGCCGACTCTATGGTTAGGGAGTGTTTGAAAAGGACAGGTATCTCAAGAATATCAATGATATCATGTGTTTATATGGATTTATGATTTGATTTCATGAAATATAGCAATCGTATAAATATTTTTGATAAATTATATCTCATTTGCATTTATGTGTGAATTGATTACGAAATACTAATCTAATATCAGACTGACTGGTGATCCCCAAAGAGTGTACATAAATATAATTATTATTTTTATAAAAATAAATTATATTTCAAAAATATATATAAATTTTATAACTATTGCATAATTTATAAGCAAAATCACTGCCCATATGTGTCTATAAGTGAGGTGTCTATGCGAGCAAAAAGATACATATTTAATACATTTAAAACAATATGAAATTATATAATAAAATCCGATAAATTATAAAATTAAATTAACACAAATGACTAGTTAGGGGCCGGGCGTATGGGATGCCGCCCATCGCATAACACACCATATAATTAACAGTAGAAAAGTGTAGTCAAACTTTTTTAATTACAATA